CTGGGCGCTGGCGGGCCAGGGCGCGTGCCCGGTCACCCCATTTCACAGACGAGGTCGCGGAGCGCCGCTGGCTCACGCTGAATACAAGCGTGTCTGTGTTTCCAAACAAACCCGGGTCCCCTGGTCCCCTGGTCCGCTCGGAGGGCTGCGCTCCCGCCTGAGCCAGGCTGGCTGTGGCATCTGCGACGTCGGTGACGTCAGACGGCTTCAGGAATCTGCATCTGCAAATGGGCAAGATGCTTCATCGGGGCTCAGGGAAAGTTTAACTGGCCCAGCACAGGGTCCAGAGCTCAAAGGGGTTTTATTGGGGGGCTTGCTCAAAGTTCTTTTTCAATGAGAAAATTCATTTCGAGAATTAGTAATGAATCAATAATTAGTCAGTATACAATTATGTGCCCTTTCCTCCCTCTCTCTGACTCACGTTTTCTCTTTGATTGCTCTCAGCTGAATTAAAAGGGTGAAAAGTGTTGAAATGCGCAGGTACTAAGCCTTCGCTGCGCAGATCACTCCCCTGTGCTCTGACCTAACATGTCTAAAGCTGGGATGGGCAACGGGGCCCCACATTCACTTGACTCTGGTTTTTGGTTCTTTTATTACCCTCCTCCCCACACAAGCTAGTGGTGTTGTTGCAGTTACATTTTGTAATGATTAGAAAAATCAAAGAGATTTCAAGATAGGAAGAGGAAATGAAATTTGTGTTCCAGTGCTCACAAAGAAGTGGCGCTCTGGGGAGTGGAGTCGTCATTAACAGGATGGCCTGTAAAGTTTAAAGTCTTCGCCGTCAAGTCCTGTCTACTAGGCCATCCGGACACCAGCCTAACCCATTGCCACCAAATGGATTCGACTCATAGCACACCTCTAGGAAACCTGGGGCTAATGAGGCTGTAAATCCTTATTTAAAGACAACTTCCATCTTTCTCCCGAGAAGCAGCTAGAATGCACTGACCCGGGTGCACTAAAGACCAAACTGTTTTAGCATCCAGGTTACGCTATTACATTTGGAATCTGGGCCTCTCATTACCTGGAATCTTTATAACGTGCCCAGAATGAAATGGCTAAATTCTTCACCTAGGACTATTATGTAAAAATGCATAATTATTAAATCCTTCAACAAATGGGAAAAATTTCTAAAACATTTAATTACTAAAAAACAAACCCAAAATAGAGAATTATATTTTAGGATATATAGAGACACACACACGTAATATCTGACACAAAATTGTAGCCTTTGATGATAATGTGTACTTTGCCATTCTTTTTCTTTAACCAGTTTTCCTATCCTCGGTATTAAAGATGTGATTGCAAGTCATAGGGCTGGGTCAGAAACTAACAATTTTTTGTTTTGACTCCATCAAAGCTGAAAATGTAGTATCACGTAGATAGTTGAAAAAAGTAATAAAAGTTTCATTGCCTTTTCATGGAGTTCTAGGTAACTTGTCTTAGCTTTATCCAAAACTGAGTTACAGGCTTTGATTAAAATATTGATTGTAATTCTAAATCCAAGAATAAATGAGCTAGCTTTTCTTCATAAGTGGTGAGATTACTGTTCTGGTGATTCAAAAAAAGGATTGGTTATCCATAAAGTTCCTGAATGCAAGTCGATTTCTAGTGGGTAACAGTCATTGATTGATATTTGAGAAAGTCCAAGTGTTCTAGAATCATGCCTGTGAGGCTGCTCATGTTTGAGTCTGATGACTTTGAGAGCTCAAAATGAAGGGAACATGTCATAATCATTCTGTGGTGTGCGCTTCACCCATGTTTCCAACTTTCTCTTAAATGTATCGATTTTACTATATAAGCTGACGAGAGTAGTCATAGTGCCTTGGAGACTTGAATTTTACTCACATGTGAAAATATATCAAATAAGTAGGCCAGCTTTGCAATCCATTCTTTGTCATGAAAACACTTGGCCAAATCTGAAGGTTTTTTATTTAAAAATATTTCAATTTCACGCTGTAATTCAGACTCTTGTTAAAATCCCCCTCTGGCTATCCAATGCACTTCAGCATGAAGTGGGAGATTCACATGCTCGCTCCCCATCTTTTTGCACAAAATTGTTAACACATGTGAACTTAAAGCATTGCTCTTGGTAAAAGTTAAAATTGAAGCTGCTTGTAAGAGAATATCATGTAAGTATGGAGGCAACTTTTCCGCTGCTAAATGTTCACAGTGAATAAAACAATGAGTAAATACCATGGTATTCATGGAAACTTCTTGAATTTTTACCATTAAACCAGAACCTGCGAGTCATGTTTGCAGGCCCATCTGTACAGAAATCAACACGGTGTTTCCAATTGAGAGGTTTACTCGATGGATTTATTAATTCAAATATTTCAAAACCAGTTTTTTGAGACCGCGTTTCAGTGCGACACAGGAACGACAATCATAAAAAAAACGAACGCAGCACAAAAGAGGGGTAATGTTTGCGTCTCTGAGATCTCGTCTATCTGAAGGGTGAACCATTTTGACTGGCTTTTTGAATCAGCGGATCTTCGATGTCTGCAGATAGCTCATCAATCTTGTGTCCAATCGTATTATTAGAAAAAGAGGTGCTTTTCATCTTGTCTCCAGCACTTGAACCCAAAACTTCTGAGCACATTTCTACCAAATAAGGTTGAATTAATTCTTCGGCAATGGAAAATGGCTTCTTGCTGGCAGCAATTTGGAAAGCAATTAAGTAAGAAGCTTTCACAAGTGACTTTTCAACTACTAAACACTTCTTTAAAGAGCTGTTGCAACATTCCATTTCAAGAGACTTTTGCTCAAATACAAAAACCTACTGCTTTGTTTTTCTAATTCTGAGTGTTTTGTTGCCAAATGATGAGTGCGATTTGGTGGCTGCCTATTTTCAATGGGCAAGATTTCCCGCCAAAAGACACACTGTGGTCTGGGTAAACTTCCTTTTGATTCCGGGCAGATAAGAAAGCCGACTTTCAAATACTCTCTGCATTGTAAGTCTGGAAGAAAATCTCTTTTTTTTTTTCTTTGCAGGTGGAGAATCAAGTTCTGAATCATTTTTCTCATTAGGCAGACGTATATCTGAATGAAATATTTGAATCTATTCTTTTCATGTAAAAACAAGCAGTATTCCTTATGTTTGTCACAGTATATTAAAAATAATCTATTTCGTCACTATTTACGTTTATCCAAGAATACACTGATTAAATACAAGCCATAATACCTTCATGATGCCATTGAGAAGTCAATTTCTCCTTTCTTTGTCCTAAGTTTAGTCACTGACTGTAAGTACATCTAGGTGGTGGTATATGCAAGTAATGTCATATGATCAATAGATGACTGAATATAGGGCTAAATTCATCAAACTCATCAAATTAGGAAAAAATTGCTTAATTTCAGAGAACAGAAACAGGGAAAATATGTTACAAAGTGTCAACATTTGGTGAATTTAGATGAAGATCTTACTGGTGTTTTGTTGTGCTAGTTTTACAACTTTCTGAATTTTCTAATTTTTCAAAATTAAAGTTGGGGGGGGGAGGATTCATTATTTATTTTAATACCCAGTGCCCATGAGGGAATAGAAAATGAGCTCTCTTGAACACTGCTGTTGGAGCATAAATTGATTACACTTTTCAGAGAGCAATTTATTTAGCAACACATCAAAAACCTGAAAAACATAGATCAGCTTCTAAAATCAGTAATTCCAATGCTTAGAATTTATCCTAAGGACATAATTAGGCAAGCACACAAAGATTCTTTCACTCAGCTTAATGCAATATTGTTTATAATATTAAACACCCAGAAGCAATCTAAATGTCCAATCTCATGTTGTTAGTTGCCGCTGAATCAATTCCAACTCTGGCAACCCTAGATGTGCAGACTAAAAAACGGCTCTGTAGGGTTTTAAGACCGTGACCTTTTAGAAACAGCCTGCCAGGCCTGTTTTCCAAGGCGCCTCTGGGTAGTTTGAATTACCAACTTTTCCACAAGTAGCATAGCACATAACTGTTTGTGCCATCCAGTGCTTCCTTAATATCGTGGAGCTAATTGTATTATTTACATTGGTATCTATGCATTCATTAAGAATGTCTCTAAAGGTAAACAAGCAGCCATCTAGCTCAGAAGGAACAAAGCCCACATGGAAGACGCACACCAGCCTGTGCGATCACGAGGTATTGAAGGGATCAGGTATCAGGCATCATCAGAACAAAAAATCATATCATTGTGAATGGGGGCGGGGGGAGTGTGGAGTGGAGACCCAAAGCCCATTTGTAGGCCATTGGACATCCACTTACAGAAGGGTCTTGGGGAGGAGACGAGCCAGTCAGGGTGCGATGATGAAACATACAACTTTCCTCTAGTTCCTAAATGCTTCCTCCTCCCCACTAACATGATCCCAATTCTACCTTACAAATCTGGCTAGACCAGAGGATGTACATTGATACAGACAGGAACTGGAAACAGGGAATCCAGGGCGGATGATCCCTTCAGGACCAGTGATGAGAGTTGCAATACCGAGAGGGTAGAGGGAGGGTGGGGTAGAAAGGGGGAACTGATTACAAGGATCTACATAAAACCTCCTCCCTGGAGGATGGACAACAGAAAAATAGGTGAAGGGAGATGTCGGACAGTGTAAGATATGACATAATAATAATTTGTAAATTATCAAGGGTTCATGAGGGAGGGGGGAGCGGGGAGGGAGGGGAAAATGAGCTGATAACAAGGGCTTAAGTAGAAAGCAAATGTTTTGAGACTGATGAGGGCAACAAATGTACAAATATGCTTGACACAATGGATGTATGTATGAATTGTGATAAAAGTTGTACAAGCCCCCAAAATTACGAAGCTATTGTTTCTTGACATATCCTGCATCGAGGTCTGAGTTTCTGAAGGCAATGACCACCTCCCTAGGGCTTTCACGAAGAAATATGTGCTCTCTGATTGACACTACCACATCCATATAGCAGTTTTGGCATCCCCGGGATTCAAACGGTATTCCTTTTCAATGCTCTTTTGAGTTTGAGTAACAAAAAGAAGTTTGAAGGGGCAAGATAAGGGTTATTGGTTGGACAGGATAAAGTTTCCTAATAAAATTCTTATAGGGCAGTCCTTGTGGCCCTCAAAGAATGAGTAGGTATGTTGTCATGAAAAAAAAAATTCCTTACCACGATTTTCTTGGCCCTTTTCTTACCAATGCAATTATATATATATTAACTTCGTCATACTAAGTCCCCCTTACTGATCTGTGTCCTTTGAGACTTTGGCGTCCCCACAACAGTCACCATAATCTTCTGAGCACACCTCTTGGCCTTGAATTTAAATGGCACAGCAGATCCAGAGGAAGCCACTGTTTTGAGAAGACCTTGCTCTCTGGACTGTATTAATACATCCCAAACTCATCCCTGGTTAAGATTCACTCCACAAAATCATCTTCACTAGCTTCGATTCTGATAATGCTTCTGCTCCCACCAGACAGAAAGCTTGCTGAGGCCAAGATGTTCACTTCAAACGGAAAATGCTGGCCCAGCTGCAATCCCAGCTTCAGTCGCTACCACATCCTCATGTCCCTACAGTCTTCTTCCTGCAGTTTCTGGATTTCAGCCACAGGCTGATCCTTCGCCAAGGTCGGTGGTCTTCACTCTCTTGGCTCATCTTTGAGGTCTTTCTGACCCTTACAGTCGATGCTCGGCCATCTGAAAACTGTTGTCTTACGTGGGGCAGCCGCACCATAAAAGTCGCCGTGATCAGGGAGGAAGTCTACCTAAGTTTTGTTACTATTTTAGCCATGATCTCAAAATAACTTTTTCCCGTGGTATTACAAGTATCCTTTTTCTAAAAAGCACCTTAATAAAACTAAGACAAACATATTCCTGAGAGAACTTGCCTGCATCTATTCATTGATCACAGAAGCATGTTTAAAGACATGTTTAGTGTATTTTAATCCCTGTTTGAATACATGCATTTATGAACAGTAACCCTAGAAGCAATGCTTTTTGACTTATTCTCTGGTTAACGTGAATTTAGCACGTACTTAACCTTGTTAAGTTCAAACAATTTTCCTGACCACCAAACTCCCGAGACACACGATTAGTTTACTTTTAGTAACAACTGAATTCAAAGTACTAAAAAATAAAAATAAACTCAGCTTAAATCAGTAATGTTTTCGATTATCCTTGTATCTTGGAAATCATTACATCTTGTCTATAAATTTGGAAACTTCAGCATTCACACACAGGTGGGGTCCACTCTATACATAGTGCTTTATATGCACATGAATTCAATATAGTAATTAGTAGCAGTAGTAACTATTATAAAGGAATAAGTCAAGTGTACAGAAAGTATAAAGAGATTTCAGAAAATTCATGGAAAATTCCATTATCTTCTCATTCCATTTCCCCCACAAACTTTTTGAAGTCCTCTCATCTACAACCGAAAAAATAATGTTTTTACATCAAGAAATTGGCGGCTGCTTTCTTTTCCTTTCTTAAAAACTCAATTAAAAAGTCCTATCTGTGGAAAGCCCAAGGACCCATCCTGTCTGACCTTGCCCGGGTCATAGATGTGGCTTGCAAGAGGAGGCCTTGGTCTGTGTGACAGGCTTGCACGATACTGCTCTGTTTTTTTGGAGTCTGGAAAGTTGGGATGAAGGAAGTTTCATGGCAAATGCCTGAGTAATCTCCTCTTTAAAAATAAATTCAGAAACCAAAGAGTTTTTTTTTTTAGTCCCTTACGACTGACTACAATTGCTATCAGTTGAAGGATGGCATAAAAGACTGAGAAAGGGTGGGTGAGAAACAATTCCTCTGAAATAATAAAGAATAATAAAGAAGCTGAAAAATCTGTACTAACTCCTAATACTCCTAATCAATTCCATGATTTTAAACCATAGGCTGTTTATAGTAAAATCAAAACTATGAAAATAACTCTTGCTGGTTAGGAAAATTGACTATCCATAAAACTTATATGCGACCTCAAACCATATGCAAAAATAAATTCCATTATCAATTAAAGATCTCATCATAAAAAAGCAAAACTTTAAAATAATTGGAGAACTTTCAAATGGCAAAAACACAGAGAAAACAGTAAAGAAAACACAAAATAACAAAACACATGAACACGCATACACACACAAACACAAAAATCTTTAAAAAGAAAGAATACTGATTTATTTGACTGTCTCAGAATTGAAAAATGTGGCAACAAAGCTCTTTAAAAATGAAGTCCTGTGTTGTTTAATGATAAACAAGATTGGGAGAACTTATTTAAAATACATTTATTTCTGTTAAAAAACCAACTATTTACTGAACATTTACTTTATAGCCAGACACTGTTCTAAGTCCTGAGGACAGAGCAGAAAACAAGAAAAATCTTGCTCTTGTGGAATTTATATTGTAAAGGCACACAGAAAATAAACAAGTAAAATAAACATCTAATGTGTAATTCCAGATAGTAATAAGAGCTAGTAAGAAAAATCAAGCATGGCAGGGAACAGAAAGCAATGGTAGGGCGTGGGGTAATTCTGGAGTAAATATCTGAGCACTGATCTTCTGAATTATTCAAGAGAGCAAGAAAGGCATGCAAAGGCCTGCAGCCAGAGGATTCTAGGCAAAGGACGTGTGGGGGCCCAAGCCTTGAAGTGCGAAGAGCTTGGCACCCATTGAGACCATCAACATCGCTGAAACAGAGTAGGCAGGGGGTGATAACTTCGAACCGCAAGCAGAATCAAGTCATGTAGGATCTGACAGGTCTTGGAAACATAATAGTGGGAAGCCACTGAGGTTATATTTAAATTTACTTCTTAAGTCCAAAAATCAGAAAGATATAAAAGGTTATATACATGAAAAGTTAGTTTTCCACACTTATCTGCCATCCAGACTTGACCTTGAATACAACCACTTGCCCTAGCTTCTGATACATCCTTCTAGAGACAACCCATTTAATTAAATTGTATCTTACTGCAAATGGTAGATAAGATTAACAAGATTCAGCGCCATACTTTGTCACTAAGCAAGCCATCTCATTGTTGCTGTTGTTGTTAGGTATCATTAAAATCAGTTCCAAACTATAGCGGCCTTATGAACCCTGTGCACCACAGAACTAAACACTGCCCAGTCCTGCGCCATCCTCACAACTGTTCACATGCTTCCGCCTGTTGTTGCAGCCACTGTGCTGATCCATCTCGTCGAGGGCCTGCCTCTTTCGCTGCCCCTCTGCTTCACCAAGCATGATGTCCTTCTCAAAGGACTGGTCTCACACGACAAGTCCAAAGTATATAAAAGTCTCACCTTTCCTGCTGCTAAGGGGCACTCTGGCCATACTTCTTCCACAATAGACTTGTTTGTTCTTTTGGCAGTCCATGGTACTTTCAATTATGATACTATTCACTAGTATCATAATTCAAATGCATCTATTCTTCCACGGTCTTCCTTCTTCAAAGTCAAACTTTCACATGCATATAAGGTGACTGAAAATACCATGGCTTGGGTCAGGTACACCTTAGTCCTCAAAGTAACCTCCTTACTTCTCAACTTTTTTTTTTTTTTTTGCTTCTCAACATTTTAAAGAGGTCTTGTGCTTCAGATTTATCTAATGCAATGCACAATTTGTCCTCTTGACCGCTGTTCTATGAGTATGTATTGTAGAACTGAGCAAGACAAAATCTTCGACAACTTCAATCTTTTCTCATGTTCCCCGACTGGTCCAGCAGTAAGGATTTCGGTCTTCCTTACATTGAGCTGTCATCCACACTGAAGGCTGCAATCTTGCTCTTCGTCAGCAAGTGCTTCGTGTCCTCCTCACTTTCAGCAAGCAAGGTTGTGCCATCTCCTATTGTAGGTTCATAAGCCTTCCTCCAATCCTGATGCCACACTCTTCTTCATATAATCCAGCTGCTCTGATGATTTGCTCAGCAGGCCGTCTTAGAAGTATATTAGCAGAAATGTTTTATTAAGCAGCTCCTGGTGGTTGTTGTTTTACTGACTGTGCTAAGGCATGTGACTGTGTGGACCATAGCACACTTTGGATAGCATTGAGAAGAATGCGATAGCCAGAACAGCGCCCGGTGCTCATAAATGAACCTGTACATGGATCAAGAGCCAGAACAAGGGCATACCACATGGTTTCAAATCAAGAGAGGAGTGCATCCGGACTGTGTCCTCTCACCACACGTATTCAATCTGTATGCTGAACAAATAATCAGAGAAGCTGGCTGAGCTGAAGAGGAATGTGGCATCAGGATTGGAAGAATGTTTATAAACGACGTATAATGTGCAGATGACATATAACCTTGTGTGGCAGTTACATAATCGCCTGCCAACTCTAGTGAAGGGGTAGAGTCTAGCCTGTCGATCACGTCACAGCTTGATGACCTCATTTGGAGGCCAGATGGAAATAAATAGCTCACCGAGGCCAGACTCACTCTCTCTGCCTTCCCTTTCCTGCTGAGGAGACATGTGGAGACCTACGCCAGTGTTGAGATGCTACCACCGCCACTGGATCCACAAAACTTTCCACCCACTGGCCTGTGATCTTCCTGCATTTGGCATCATTGCATGTGCTGCATGAGTCTAAAGAGGAATTTATGGACTAGTATTGAACATATAGGCTAATATCTGACTTATGGACTTGATCTGGACTGGAGTGGGATGTTTTCTCAGTATACAATTGCTCTTTTATATAAATCTCTTTTACACATATACCCTGTTTCCCAGAAAGTAAGACATCCCCGAAAATAAGACCTACTTACAGTTTTGCCTCTCACTGAAAATAAGGCACCCCCCCAAAATAAGACCTCCCCAAAAATAAGTGCCCCCCCACCAAGCTACTGTAACTCTGGACTATGGACCATAGTGGAGGGTGCCGCTGCCAGCTCACTGTTGGCCGCAATGCAGCCAGAGCAGACAGGAAGTGCGAGGTCTCTTTTAATAAAACAATAAACAATAAATGTGTACCGTATTCTTCCTCATGGAAAAATAAGAAATCCTCTGAAAAGAAGACCCAGAGCATCTTTGGGAACAAAAATTAATATAAAGACACTGTCTTATTTTCGGGGAAACAGAGTAAGAGTGTCAATGAATGTCGACAGCCATGAACTTCGGAACCAGGAGCTTCCAGCCGCTGCCCCAGACAAGGGCAGCTTCCCGCTGGACCACTTAGGCGAGTGCAAGCGCTTCCAGGAGAAGTTCATGAAGTGCCTCCGGGACAGTCCCTTTGAAAGTGCCCGGGGCAGAAGCGAGTCCAAAGACTACTTAGAGTGCTGAATGGAGAGGCAGCTGATGGCCGCAGAGCCGCTAGAGAAGTTAGGTTTCTGAGACCTGATGGCCGAGAGACCAGCCACACAGGGCAAAGGTTGATGAGGTGGTGCCCACGGTGCTGCACCCTGCACAGCCATGAGGCCTGCGCTGCAGGCGACAAACTCACCACGCATGGTAGCTGCTCCTCTTTGCCCTAGGGGTGGGGTGAAGCCTCCTCTCTGCCAGACCACCCCTCCTGGCCCACCTACCTGCTGTATACTACACCCTCTAGTCCACCCTTGCGCCACCCCTGCAACAGGCCTCCCCACCACCTGTCCTGTACCGCCCACAGTTTCCCGCCCCGCGCTCACTCTGTCACACTCTGGACATGGCTGGTCGCACTCTCACTGGGCTAGCTGCCTCTGCGGCCAGCGTGGTGGTCCACTCGGCACTCCTTGGTCCACTGTGACAGTGCCCTGTCCTCTGGGCTGGCCTAGCGCCTCCCTTCACCAGCTAGAGCCCTGGGCCCAGAGAAGCTGTCCCCCGCCCCACCCCAGCCTGTCTAATAAAAGGGTTGACCCAGAGGAAAAAAAAAAAAAAAGAGTGTCAATGAATTTGTTTCTCTGGTCAACCTGGACTTACACACCTTGCTTGCTGAAAGTGAGGAGGACTTGAAGCACTTGCTGATGAAGATCAAGGATTGCAGTCTTCAATAAGGACTACAACTCAATGTAAAGAATAAAGAAGACGACAAGCTTCACTCTGGACCAATAGGTAACATTAAGATAAATGGAAAATAGCAGTGGGTACCAGGGGAGGGGGGTAGAAAATGCTTTAAAGTTGATTGTGGTAAAGATTGCACAACTCTTCTTGATGTGGTTAAACTATTGGATTATATGATATGTAGACAAAGTGCTAATAAAACTGTTAAGAAATAATCGGAGAAAAGATTGAATATGTCAAGGATTTTGTCTTGCTTGGATCCACAATAAATACTCATGGAAGCAGCAGAGCTGAAATGACAGGTTGCATGGGTAAATCTGCTGCACAGACCTCTGTAAAGTGATGAAAGGCAAGAAAGGTACTTCGAGGGTTAAGGTGCACCTGACCCAAGCCAGGGTACTTTCAGTGACCTCCACTGCATGTGAAAGTTGGACATTGAATAAGGAAGACTGAAGAAGAACCGATGCGTTTGACTTGTGGTGCTGACCAAGAATATGGAGCGCACTGTGGACTGCCAAAAGAACAAACACATCCGTCTACAAAGAACAGCCAGAGTGCTCATGAGAGACGAGGCTGGTGAGACTCTGTCCTGTGTATTTGGGACATGGTATAACGAGAGACCAGTCTCTAGAAAAGGACACCATGCTTGGTAAAGTAGAGACAGCAGACAAGAGGAAGAACTCAACAAGATGGATGGACACAGTGGCTGCAACCCAGGGCTCAAATAGAAGAACAAATGTAAGAGGTTGTGCAGGACTGGGCGGTGTTTTTTCTGTTGTGCATGAGGTTGCTATGGATCAGAACTGAGTTGATGGCATCTAACAGTAACCATCATTAGCAGCTAAATAGTATTCCATTATTAAATGTAACATAAGTAATTTGAACAGTCCCTGCTGCTCAACATGTAGGATATTGTAAATCTGTAGCTATTACAAACATCACTACAGTGAATACATTTACACAAACCAAAATTCTGTATGTGTTAACATACCTGTAAGTCTTAGAAGTGCTACTGATGGGTCAAAAGATAAAGATTTTAATTCTGATGCTATTTTAAAATTTATCACTACAGAAATTATAACAAGAAACTGGGCTATCAGCAATGTCTCATCTATGAGTCTCTTTCCAATAGTATTGTGAAACACCTTGCTATTTCTCAGTGAGTTAAAAAATCATCTTACTGAAAGCTGATGGTGCCCGGCTATCAAAAGATATATCATCTGAGGTCTTAAAGGCTTGAAGATAAACAAGGGGCCATCTAGCTGAGAAGCAACAAAGCCCACATGGAAGAAGCACACCAGCCTGTGTGATCATGAGGTGTTGATAGATCAGGTATCAGGCATCACAGACCCAGAACCAAAAATCATATCAATGGGAATGAGGGCAAGTGCAGAGTGGAGACCCAAAGCCCATCTGTAGACATTTGGACATCCCCTTACAGAAGGGTCACAAGGAAGAGACGAGCCAGTCAGGCTACAATATAGCACCGATGAAACATACAACTTTCCTTTAGTTCCTTAATGCTTCCTCCCCACCCCACCACCCCACCCCACTATCATGATCCCAGTTCTACCTTACAAATCCAACTAGACCAGAGTATGTACACTGCTCCACATAAGAGCTGGAAACACAGGGAATCCAGGACAGATAAACCCCTCAGCACCAATAATGAAAGTAGTGATACCAGGAGGGGAATGAGAAGGGGAGGGGAGAAAGGGGGAACCAATCACAGTGATCTAAATATAACCCCATCCCTGGGGGATGAACAACAGAAAAGTGGATGAAGGGAGATATCGGTCAGTATAAGACATGGAAAAATAATAACAATTTATGAATTATTAAGGGTTCGTGAGGGAGGGAGAGTGGGGAGAGAGGGGGAAAAATGAGGAGCTGATACCAAGGGCTCAAATAGAAAGAAAATGTTTTGAAAATGATGATGGCAGCAAATGTACAAATGTGCTTGACACAATGGATGGACGTATGGATTGTGATGAATTGTATGAGCCCCAACAAAATGATTTTTTTTAAAGTCACTACAA